TGCCTCACCTCATGAGTAATCCAGGAATTGATTCTGTGCTGACAGACTCATGTCAGCCAATAGTGAGGGGGAGGAATTCAAAGTAGACTTCCTAATATCACACCGATGTTACTTTGACTGCATCCATGGCCTTAGTGACTTAACTGAGAAAAACACAAAAGAACATTTTTCCTCCAGCTTGAGAATTCAACATTTCATTCTTTAAAGAAAGGGAAGTGTTTGAACATTTCAGTGCGTAGAATGAGCTGTTTTTCACGGAACAAATGACCCGTCAATCTATCCATGTGTGACTATTGTTCATTGAAAGTGACCCAGTTACCTGCAAAGGTTTCACCATCAGGCAAACAATGAGCGGTCCAAGGAAAGGGGCATTGATGAGTAAAAGACTCTAACACTTTGGAAGCTATGAGGTTCCCTCCTTAAAATCAGATACTATTTTTGGTACTTCTCATATTATATTCTTCAAAGAGACCTACAAGTAGATATTCCCATTGGGATCTCAATGTGACATAAGCAGGCAGGTAGCTGCTACTAACAGACAGCTAAGGTTGATCATGTCCTATGCTTCCCCAATATCACATAAAGACCTCACATGACTTAACTTAATCCTCAGGGCAGTTCTTTGTTTCATTATGATAAAACAAAGTAACATGGAGAATTTAGGTAAATTATCCAGTGGTCAAATGACAAAGAAGTTAGTTTTAAGTACAGTTAGCATTACTCCAAGCTCAATGCTTCATTTATTCCAACCAGCTCTCAGGCGAACTTTATTATATGTCACATGGGCAGTTCCCCATGCTAATAATGCCAGCTGCTACAGCTTTCTCACATCATTGTCCCAATGTGCCTAGCAATTTTACCAAGTGGAAAGTATTGTAATCATTATTCACTAAGGTAAAGATGGTTCCAAGGCAAAATTTATAAAATGTCATTCATCTTCTTTGTGTAGGTTGGAGACACCATTACTATCAGACATCAAAGAGCATACTAGCAGAGGATGGTTCAAGAAATTTAAAAGTGCTTTATTGGGGAATCTGGAATGGGATTTATCTATAGCTCTACATCTCTAACTTCTTATCTATCCTATCTATAGTCTTTTCAATCATCTATATACATGCATATCAATTATTTATCTATCTATAAAATCTAACACCTCTATAAAATTATGTTTATAATAGCTATGCATGTACCTATACTTATCTATCAATATTCTATTGATTATTTATAATATCTAGCATCTATATAATATTTTCTATCCATCTGTAGTATCTGTCATCTATCTAGCTTTCTTGATCTCAAGCTATCTGGTCTACCTGTCTCTAATTCTCTTTCTCTGGAGATCCTTAATACTGTGAAAGAAGAGGTCAATGCATTGAAATGTCATGAAACTCCCCAAATATTAAATAATTGCTGAAAAACAGCATTTCTAGTCTCAAAAATGATAATCATTTGATAAGAAATCTTACCAGACAAAAGTAGAAAAAGAAACAAAATATAGAAGTAAATACACTAACCAGAAATAAGAAATATTAGGATCTTTAGGAAGGGGGGTATTTATTTCTATCTACCATAGTATATAAAGTGTGCTCTCTTTAAAAACAGTCTAACAGCGAATGCACTTTATTCTATAGTTAGAATTTTTAAAAAGATTTTTATGAAAGTTTTCCCATTTGGGCTGAGTTATGACATAGTTAATCACTTATGTAACTAACACTGCAATCTAGATGCACAGTAGTTCCACCATCCCAAAAGTTCCCAAGCTTCTTCTGACCTCTAATATGGCTATCACTGACCTAATTATTATCTCTAAATTATTTTCATTTTAAACTGTCAAAGAATGGAATCATGCAACATTTTATGTCTTGCCTCTCACAGAATAATGTCATTGAGACTCATATATGTTATAGCAAGTTTGGCAGTACATTTATTTTTGTTCTTCAGTAGGAACCCATTGCACAGATGTATTATTGTTTGTCCGCCCATTTATGAGTTCCCATAACTATGTGCTTTTCCAGGTCTTGGTGATAAGAAATAATATTATGCTGAGTGATTTTTATAGGTCTTAAATGAAAACACTTAAATTTATCTTAGGCAAATATCTAAGAGTTAAACTGTTAGGTTATGTGGTGAATATATGTAAGATTTTATAATAGATGTCATTCAATAACATTTTGAGAAATGACTACAAATTCATGGGAATTTAAAAGATGGTACTCAAAGGTCCTCTGTCTTCTTGACCCATGGTTTGTAATAGTTAAGTCCTAATTGTAGTACAATATAATTGTATGCAGTTTACCTAAGTACTTGGTGTCATGCCATTCCATGATTTATTAACAATACACAAGTTGCCAAACTTTCATCACCTTTAATGTCATGTCCTGTCTTTATAGTCATATTAAATCTCTGTCCATTGCATTAACTCCTGAAAACCACTAGTGTTTCCATGTCTACAATATTATAATTTTGAGGATGTTATATCAGTCAAAATATACTTTAAAATTATTTAGAGAAAGGTCACTTTTACTTGTAATAAGATCATTAAAATCCATTTGAGTTGCTACAGATGCAAATAATTCATTAGTTGTTAGTGTTGATGGTTATTTCTGACATTTTGTTCTTGATAACAGTACTGCTGTAAGTTTTTCATAGAATTTATCCTTGAAAATTTTTCCTGCTGTTTTCCTTGCCATGTATCTATAACTGTTGAAATAGACCATACACTCTTCCACAGGGTTTCTGCACACATTGTTTTTGGGTCTTTGTGTGTTCCACTGCTTAGACACCCCTCATATCGCATTCCCGTACGTTCAAATATCCTTAAGCCTTGAGGCAAATTTCAAAGGCCACATTTTTCAAAACAGTCAGTGCTCATTGTTTTGATAAAAAAAATAAGATGTATTTCCTATATATTTACCTATGCTTACTTTACATCATTTACTATGTTCTATTTAATCAGTTATTTTTCTGATATAAGTATCACCATCTTAATATTTTGTAGGTTGCTACAGCCTCTTGACCAGAGCAATCCTTTTTTTTTTTTTGTTTATTTTATCCTTTCCTCCTGATGTAGAAAGTTCTTCTGTATATGTGTTGATTTTATTGGTTAATGAAAAAAGAAGTTGCTTGGGCCTATGACAGGGCAGAATAGACCTAGGTAGAAAAACTAAACTGAATGCTGGGAGATAAAAAAGGTAGAGTCAGAGAGAAGCCATAGAGCTGCCACAGGAGACAGATGCCAGATGCAGGATGAAACTTTACCAGTAGGCCACACCCATGTGGCGATACACAGATGAATAGAAATGGGTTAATTTAAGACGTAAGAGATAACTAACAAAATGCCTAAGTGATGGGTCAAGCAGTGTTTTAATTAATACAGATTTCTATGTGATTATTTCAGGAGTCTGGGCAGCCAGGAAATAAATGAGGAGCCTCCAACAATACCTTCCCCTTGACATTGTGCAGCTGTTTCCTCTGAAGTGTTCCCAACCAGAGGAGGGGTGGAGACTCATAAGACTCAAGAGACAATGAATCTTAGAGCCTCAAAAAATGAGAAGCTTCCCATGTGCCCTCTGCAATGTTGCAAAAGCAGTAGACTCTTGCTGAGGGACAACCAACTCTAGCAGAGATGCCTACAAGATGGGCAGCGAGATGGAGAGGCAGATTTTGTGAGTCACCATCCATGCTGAGGTAGGCCGTTTCATGGTACAGCTCTCTCTGAGTCAGACATATTCCTGTAAGAAACCCCTCACTTGGGCTCCTGTAACTTGATGCACCCATTGACCTAGCTGGCTAGGCTTGGTTGGAATTGTTTCTCTGTCCTGTCATCGATTCATCATGATGTAAACAGATGTTTGTTCTTGTGTCCTGGGGAAAATACACACGTGTGCAAGGCTTTCAGGCTTCAGTTGGGGGAAATTTAGCTTGCTTTATATACATGGATATCGACTATAATTTTTGATTAGGGTAAATCTTTATGATCAGAGAAGAGGAAGATGTTCAATTTCAAATTTCTACATTGATTATATTCTTAACTACATCACGATCATCTTTACTTCTTGTTAATTTCTATGTAGCACTCAAATTTTATAGTTTAAATCTACTTAGTATGCTGCTGGCTCAGGTAGCATCTGCTTATGTACATGGTATACAACTGTGCCCTATTTTTGATGTCTCCTGAGAATGAAACAGCCTGGCTGAAGTAAATATCTGCTTCTTACTTCTAATCTGACTGTCTCTAGACAGTTGTTTCTTCCAATGGATCCAGCTCCCAACTTTGCTTTTTTGAGTCACATGGAGTAAAACTATCAATTTATTTTGTTTGGTAATAAAGGATTTCAACCATTTTTATTTCAATGGGCAAAATTCTAAATGGAAGTAATTTAAAAATCGATAACATGACATTTATTTATACTACTTGATAATCATTTCAACCTAACCAAATGATTAACTGAAAATAAACTCGTCTACCTCTCTGTTATTAGGTACAATGCCTTTAGATTTCAAATGTCTTCTGGATGGGTGTCTTTTGTCTTCAAAACAAAATTCTTGTCAGTCAGTCCTGGTAACCTTTGTTTTGAAGTCATTTTACCTAATATAAGTATAGCTCCATAGAAAACATTTTGCAATACCTACAATCTTTGAATGGATTCAATTCTTTTGTTATATACGAGAGCATATAAATGAATCCTAAAGTAAAACTCCAAAGTTTTAAGTTCCAAGACGAAGTATTGTTGACAAGCTGGAAGCCAATCATTCAGTCATCCTGATCTCTAATCTTCCTGGCTATGACACAGAAATGAAGGGCTCTCTGCCTAACCTAGTATGAGAGAGATACACATGCAGTCCCTGACTTACCACAGCTTACCTCGTGGTTTTTCAACTTTAGTGTGCTGGGAAAATGGAAAACATTCAACAGAAATCAAATGTTGGGTTTTGATTTTTTTTATATTTTTGCAAGATAGCTATACGTAGTAGAGAACTTCTCAGAGCTGCCGAGCGAAATGGCGCAGCCCCCAGGTAACTGAAAGAATATGAGGATCAGAAACACTACCTCATACTGCAGTGCTTTGCTATGCCGTGGTGTTCAGTAAATCAGGAACGTTAAATATAATGTTGATATTAGATCATATTTATTCATTATAGGTTTATTACAATGTAACCCTTTCATAAGTTGATGAACCTTTGTATAAAAATAAGACTATATATTACTAATTCACCAATGTTACAAATAAAACAAATTATAGAAATACAGGTTCTTGGGTCATTTTCATTGTTGTTGCTTTTTGTTTTGTTTGTTTGTTTTTTTTTTTTTTTGAGACAGAGTTATTCTGTGTAGCCCTGGATGTCTAAAAACTCACTGTGTAGACCAGGCTTGCCTGAAACTCACAGAGATCTGCCTGCCTCTGCCTCCTTGAGTGCTGTGGTTAAAGACGTGCGCCACCATCACCTGGCAGGATCTTGTTTTTAAATCTCTTTTTTATATAGAGGTATTGATAAATAATGTAGGTATCTATATGCTCTAAAGAATTTATTATCATTTGGTTCCAGTAAATAGAAATAAGAACATAATTATATGGAAAATTACACAGTCTTGATTAAAAATATTTGAACTTTATTATATGAATGTATAAAATAATCAAGTAATTAAAAATAAAAAAAGGAAATACTTTATTTGATAAGTCCTTTTATGAAAGTTATTGAAACAGTTACCATACATCTTTAACATAATTTCTTTTATTGATTCTTTAGATATTTCACATACTGCACACCAATCCCACCCATTTCCCAGTCGTACTATGTCTGCTCTCCACCCCTGTAGCCTCTGCCCACAAAATAAAACCATTCACTTCTGTCTTTCACACACATCCATTGCCATAGTGGCCTTGGGAACTGCAGTGTGACATGCAGTATAACCTTTACCCTAACAGCTTTTCTTGCAAATGTTCATTGCAATGAGTTGTTGGTCTGGTTCAAGGCCTATGGCTTCTGGTACACTATCAATACTGGACCCTTGCTAAAATTCAACTCTGCTATCCTGCTGTTACCTGAGTCATGGAGATCCTACAGCAATGGTTCAGGTATTCATTAGGTCATAGATGGGGTAGATGCTGGGGTAGGCCAACTCAACATCTAGGATGTGGGCCTGGGTAGTTTAGGAGGAGGGCCTGCTTATTCATCCAGGCTTAGCCCCGAAGTAACCACAGAGAAATCATATTAATTAAATCACTGCTTGGCTCATTAGCTCTAACTTCTTATTGGCTAAATGTTACATCTTAATTTAGCCCATTTCAATTAATCTGTATATTGCCACGTGGTTTACCGGGAAAGATTCGGCATGTCTGTCTCTGGAGGCTCCATGGTGTCTTACTCTCCGCCTTCCTTCTCCCAGCATTCAGCCTAGTTTTTCCTGCCTAGGCCAAGGCAGTTTCTTTATTCATTAACCAATGAAAGCACCACATAGCCAGAAGGACCTCCCACACCAGAGTAGTAACTGATCTGATCAGTTCTGACCTCCACCAGGATCACTGCCCTCTGGTGAGGGTCAAAGCATGTACTCCCACACCCTGCATCTGGACCAGCTCTCCCCAGGTGAGGAGTGGGAGTAGCTCTCCCTATGCGCAGGCCAAGCTGCCCTTCACCACTAGGGCCAGTTCTCCTGGAGAAGGGGGGCAGTTCTCCCACTGAGGCGACCAGACAGAAACAGGACCAGTTCTCAGGTGCCCAGTCTACTGGGGCCAGTTCCCTCAGGTCTCCTCTTCATGGTATCATTGGCAATAGACATCAACACAGACCCGGGTCATGACAGGACCATGGACTCAGACATGGTCCTAAGCACAGATGTCACCATGCCCCAGATGACAGCTCAGGACACCCAGATTGGCATGGCCTCAGCAACACTGTGTCCTTCAGAAAGCAGCGTGGCCTTGGGTGGGCATACTGAAACCTAGGCATTTGCATGGCCATTGGTGGTAACATGGGCTCTGGGCATCATCACAGACCCTGACGGCAGCAGGGCCACAGACCCAGACATGGCCCTCAGCCACAGCCCAATCCCAGACATCTGAATGGCCCTAGGTGACATCACAGGCCACTAATATTGGTATGGCCCTGGTGGCAGCATGGCCCCTGGACATCAACATGGCCTCAGGTGATGGAACAGATCCAAGGCATCACCATGGCATTTACTAGTAACACAGGCCATGGACAACATAACAGATCCCAGTTGTAGTAGGATCAAGGACCCAGACAAGGCCCTCAGCCACAGATGGGGCTAGGACATCACCATGGCCTCAGGAGGCAGCATAGGCCACCCATATCAGCCTGTTCCTCCCTACCTTCGCTTCTTCAGTTCTGGTCTCTCTAGTGGATGAACCACTCAACTTTCCTTCCGTCCCTTTTCCCCGCCACATATCTGCTCATTGTAGTGGTGCCTGCTATGGCTGTCTTCTGTCTGCTTGCCTGACTACCCAGGACATGGGGCCTACTATACACTTTTTATTACTTTTCTGCATAGTGTAATTCCCTCCTTCCTAAGCGAAAAGGAAAAACATGTATAGTTCACATCTTAGACTGATGCTAGGTGTTCCATACCAAGACTGTTTATCATTGGCAACTACACCTCCCTGATACAGAGTGATTAGGCCAGAAACATTTAAATTACTTTCAAGAAAATACTTTCTTCAATCATGCAATTTTACAGTAAGGACTTAATAATGAAAGATACTAACAGCACACAGGAGGAGTCATTTCAAAGAACCAAGTCCATCATATGAAAATAATGTCTGTATTAATTTTAATTTCACCTAAGCATGTAGACAACTAAGTAGTTATTTGGTGAGGGGTATGGTACTGTTAGAGAAGGATATAAACCACCAACAAAAGTAAGAGGGTGGGGAAGAGAGAGAGGAAGATGAGGAAGAGGAAGAGGAGGAAGAGCCGGAAATTTCAAGGACAAAACATTAGCTCTTACAATTATTTAAGAAATGGTTCATTCCAGTTAACTGAAATTTTTTGGAAAACTGTGCTTCACTTTTCAGTATTCAAACTCACTTTTCCATCTCCTGTGTACTGTCCACCCCATCTACAAATGATGGTTTACATAAATTAAGTCTCTTACTTCTTTCTATGGTTCCATGGAAGATCACCTATTGGTTCAGCAAGGAAAAAAATTTATTGGTAGATTATAGTCTTACAGTAGGGTTTAAAGGAATTGCCAGGAGACTTATTCATATCCCACAGAATAATCAAAAGAATTGTACAATTGTGGCTTCATGTTACTTTGAGGTTGAATGGTTGGCTGCACAGATTGCTTCTCTCACAGGTTACATAGTCTCCTTCATGCTTGTCAGTGATAACTCGTACCACCCTCTCTCTTGGTGTCTCACTGTCTCACTTTGCTCTAGCTACGATAGACTTCCTTAGTTTTTCTTGTAGTATAATGGGTTCTTCTTTGTTCATTCTTAGAATGTAGATGCTTCCATTCAGCTAGTCTTCACCAAATAAAAGGAGCTTATTCTTTAAAATAACTGAGCAGAGGCAGCTGAAGAGATGATGGCTCAGGAGTTAAAGGCACTTCCTACTCTTGCAGAGGACCTGAGTTTGATCCCCATCACCCACATGGTAGATTGCCAGAACCACCATCTAGAGCTCATTTCCTGGAGATGAGATGCTCTCATCTGACCACTGAGGACACCAGCCCCATATTTGGTGCACATATTATACATTCAGGCAGAATACTCATGCACATAAAATATGTATATTGAAAAGAATTTCATGTGCATAATTTAATCTGGAATCCCTTTATTTTAACAAGTAAAATCTCTGTAATATACAATAGCTTCTCAATTGACATCTTCCTAAAAGTTCCCTCGTAGATTTAGTGGGAAAGTGACTTACTTTCCTGTGTCTTCTCCTAAATTATCTTTGATCTCTTAGAAGTCAGATGGTGCTTTGTCTTGTTCTTAATTCTAAGTCTCTTGAGGCCAGACCAGCACAGGCATTTCGTAAATATTTGTGGTATTTCATGAGGAGAATCATATGCCTCTAAAGATTCAAGGGATAGAATACTTGTCTTATGTCTTCAAGGCTTTAAAGCTCAATCCTACATTCTGATAAAAATAAATTAGATACCACTATAAACATAAAAGCAGAGCATAAGTCCTCCGTCATAATTTGGGAGTAATAAGTGCAGTGGTAGAATGCCAGCGTTTACATCTTTAATGTGTGTATGTGTGTGTGTGTTTAGTACTTGAGTTCCTCCCAGATCCACCCTCACTTCCATACCCATCCAAATTTGTACAGTCTTTTTATCCTTTTTAACAGCCATCAAGAAGTCCAGTTTGTGTTCCTGGTGTGTGTTGTGGATGTGTGTCCTTCCACTTGAGCACGTTTAACTTTACACTCTTAGAGAAAACTGACTTACCCTCTCCCAATAGCTATCAATTGTCACGAAATATTTTGCTGAAGTTGGAACTTCATGACAACCTCACCTCTCTAAGTCGGTATTTTGTCTGTCTTGAACTTGCTGTCTTATGCATGTTATCACAACTACAGTGTTCATATGTGCATCTGTCCGGTTGTGTCTAAAGACAATGTTTGCTTGTGTTCATACAGTGTCTCTGACTTTAATGTTTTCCCTGCCTCACTTTTGATATAGACTACCAGGCTTTGGGAGGAGGGGTGTGATATATATGAGCATCAGTGTGAATGCTAGACAATGAACCCAGGTCCTCAGAATAAGCAAGTATTCTTTTCTGAACCATATTTCTAGCTTCTCTTTTAAAAAAAACATTTATTTTGTATTTTGAGATTATAATATAATTTTATAAGTGCTCTTTTCCCTTTTCTCCTTCATGTATCCCTTTTTGCTCCCTTTCAAAATCATAACATTTTTCAACAATTGTTGTTGCATACAGATTTTAAAATGTGTATGTGTATTTCTAAGTATATAATACATTATGCAGTCTAAGTATATAAATATGACATCATACCATCTTGTGATTTTACTTGTATGTATCAATCAATTCACATCATATCATTTAGTTATCAAATTGGCTGACCATTTGGTATTAGATAGCTAGTTGATATGCTCTTCTGTGAAGAAGACTATTTCTCTTTACCTAGGCATTCCTTAGTTTTCTGCAGTTCCTTGCTTAGGGCTGAAGCCTGACCTTTTTTGAAAGCACTGTAGTGTGTCAGTTGGTGTCACCCTTGTTCAGCTCATGTATAGACAGTTATACTGATGAGACATTATGAACGCAGCTTCTCACGCTCCTAGAGACACAATCTCCCTGTTCCTCTGGTTCTTACAATTTTTCTGTCCCTATTTTTCAAAGGTCCCTGAGTCCTTGGTACAGTGATGGATTGTAGATGTGTAAGTAGGGACTGAGATCCACAACTCTGCATTTTGACTGAGTGTTATTTTCTGTAACCGTCTACATATGTTGCAAAGATAAAGGGGAAGAGCATTGTACAAGCTATTTGAAGGGAAGGATTCTTGTTCTCCCTTTTTCACCCCAATCCTCTACCCCCGTAATGGTTCTTTTATACCCACAGATAAATGTAGTCCTACAGCTCTTTAATTGACCTTCAAAACCATTCAACAAGAAGAAAATCATGCCTGGTACCCAGAACTAATGAAGATTTTGGAGTAGAACCTGCACCCACCACTTTGCAAAACTGGCACAATCCCTAACTGCACTCTCTCATTTTTTTTTTCTAAATACTTGGTTTTTATTTTCTTTTTTATTATTATTATTAAAAATTTCCACCTTCTCTCTTTCCCTCCCCCATTCCCCCACTTCCCATCCCCCTCCCTCTTCAGTCCAAAGAGCAGTCAGGGTTCCCTGCCCTGTGTAAAGTCCAAAGTCCTCCCCCCTCCATCCAGGTTTAGGAAGGTGAGCATCCAAACAGACTAGGCTCCCACAAATTCAGTACATGCAGTAGGATCAAAACACAGTGCCATTGTCCTTGGCTTCTCAGTCAGCACTCATTGTTTGCCACGTTCAGAGAGTCTGGTTTTATCACATGCTCCATCAGTCCCAGTTCAACTGGCCTTGGTGAGCTCCCATTAGATCAGCCCCAACGTCTCAGTGGGTGGGTGCACCCCTCGTGGTCCTGACTTCCTTGCTCATGTTCTACACTCTCTCATTTTTAATTTTTAAATCTTATGCTTTATAATATAAATGAGGCTCTTATGTACTACATGAACCACACTGGCCACAAAACAACACCTCTTTTAGTCTAGGTTTTATTTTATTATTTTATTAATTTTTGAGACCACATCTTAATGACTCACACTGTATGGAACCCCATATTGTTCTCATGCCTATGATCTTCCTTCCTTCCTCGGTCTTCTGAGCTCTGGGACCATAACTGAACACCAACACACCTGACCTTTCTGAAAGCAATCAAGATCAAATAAAATATTTGCTTGTTATTCTAAAGGTGAATTTAATTACCAGGATTGTTTTAAATTTTATCTTTTCTCATTAATTCTTTTTATATAAAAAGAGAAGAAACGTAAGTTAGGACAAGGATATATTTTTTTACAAAGCACATAACGTGTATGTTTAACTGTCATTAAAGTC